TCTCCCTCTTCCCCTTTCAAGTCGACTTTCATTGCTTCTCCTTTTGAGTTTGGCCCCTTATTGTGTAAGTGTGTTAGAACCTTCTATAGGAGTTTCTCTTAGATACTGGTAGTCATGCTGAGATTGAGGCTTAAGGGAGAAAAAAGGCTTAAAATCATGTACTTTCCATTTTTAGGACAGAACAAGGGCAAAAAGGTCCAAGATTCCATGCATGGCCTCAAAACTCAAGTCTACATCAGATCCAAAAAGTTAAATGCTCCAAATGGCCTGGAGATTCATAAAGTTACAAGTTTGATGAGATCTTGTGACATCCCCATTTTCACGGCCAGAAAAGACCGATTTTTGTTTATGCTTTATAAAAATCAGAGTACCTCTTTTAATAAAAATGTTGCCGAATTTGTTCCCAGAAAAACATGATAAATACGTTATGAAAGCATTTCCGAAGAAATATATTTTTATTCATTTTAAAACGTTGGGATGTCATCGTCAATACAGAAACATAAGCATAAACAGAACTTACATTCATTATCACTAGTGATTTATATCTCCTTAATCTCTCAGTGTAATGTAACTTCATATCGACACCGGTGATTCAAATAAACTGAGTGGGTCAGGTTGGGAAACCTGGTGAGTACATAGGGTTTTCAACCCACAATAATATAATTATTATGTTTAAACAATTAAACGATCAACCCAATTACCCATCCCCATTATCTTCTTAAGGATTTACCCTAAGAATCACCTACTCCTCGTTCATTCATTCCTAAGGATCGTCCTAAGGAAACGGCACGAAGTCCATCGTTGCCAATGACACAGTTATCAAGCACAGCTGCTAATATTATCGCTTAGGCGCAGCTGCCGGAATTGTGACATTCTCTATGAGGCGCTTCTGCCGGTATTAACCTTTAAACGCTACTGTCATGGTTATAATGTTCTCTATTAGGCACAGCTGTCGATACTATCCTTAGAGCGCAGCTGCTAGGATGTGTATCGTAGATCTAAAACATCTTCAGATTTTGGCGCAGCTGCCAGTGTTCATCTATAGGGTACTAGGTTCATTGTTGCCAATGTTCACCTATAGGGCACTGGGTCCATACTACTAATGTTCCTTTATTTCAGCCTTCATCCCTCATCATTCATCTACCCATGTTTTACCC